CTCCCTTGTCTCTTTCCTCCTGGGCCCACCTGTCCAGTTCCTTCACCCACTATCCGGACCCTGTCTCGTGCCGGCCACCAGAGTCCCAGATGTCGAGACCCTCGAGGCTCAGACCTCTCCCACGCCTTCCCTGGGCCCCTCCCGGCCAGGAGCCACCCCTGCCAGTTATCGCTCCCTTGACTCTTCCTCTCCGGATTTGAAAAATTAGCATCTGGTTCGTGTCTCCCTCCCTCTGTGAAAAATGTCAGATACCTGAGACCCTGGAGGTGTCCTGCCTGTCCTTCCCCCTCTGGCCTCCCTCTCCCAGTGCTCACACCCCAGCCCTCCAGTCACACCAATGTAGCCAGAGCCCACCCCGTTCTAGCCCTGGGGATACGGCAGTGAGCAAAAACGATGTCCCCTCCCTGTGGGAGCTTGAATTCTAGCTGGGGGAGACACAAGAGACAAGATCAATCATGTCCCCACTAGGACAGATGCTGACGGGCAGTCTGGAGAAGAGGATATTGGGAAGGCAAGACGGAAAGCCCCTGGGGTTAGAGGTTTTGCTGTTTTAGAGTGCAATCAGGGAAGACCTCACTCTGGGGGTGACCCTGGGCAAAGGCTTGAAGGAGGTAAGGGAGTAAGCCTTGCAGACAGCTGGAGGAACTCCAGGCAGCAGGAATAGCAGGGGCAAAGCCCGGGGTGCTTGTGTGTTTCAGGAACAGCATGCGGCCAGGGTAGCTGGAGAGGAGTCAGTGGAGTCGGGCGCGGCAGGAGATGGCCCAGGTGCAGGCAGCGTGGGCAAAGGGTTGAGGGCCCTGCGGTGGTCTTGAAGCCTTCGGCTCTGGCTCCAGTGAGACAGGGAGCCCTCCCAGGGTTCTGTGCGGAGGAGGGACGTGACCTGCCCCAGCACCAGGGCTACAAAGTGACTTCAGAGATCCAGGAAGGAGGCAGAGACCAGTTAGGGGCGGAGGGATGACGGGGGCTCAAACCAGGTGACCAGCAGTCAGGGGGAGGAGAGGCTGGATTCTTACGTCTCGGAGGCGGGGCCCCAGGATGTGGGTATGAGAGGAGGGGAGGGTGGCGGCCTGGGTGCCCGGCTGGGAGGGTGGAGCGAGAGCAAGGTGCTGGGAGCAGGCCTGGGAGGAGGGCGGGGCACGGGCCAGACAGTACGGCCTTTGGCTTGATCTCCCGCATGGGTGAGTGGGCACTTGCCTCTGCACCTTTGCACAGGCCGGCCTTCGCCTGGAAGGCTTTTCCGGCCTTGTCAGAGTGTAGTGGCCGAAAGTTCAATCCGAGAGACCACCAAGAGCCAATTCCAAGGAAAGTTCAAGAGGGTCTTTATTTGCAAGCTGGAGCCTGGACCTCTGTCGACAACCAACGCAGCGGAGTACACCCAGAGGCCCTGACTTCCTTAAGCAGACACCTTTTATGCTTTCACACGAAGGGAGGAGGAGTTGGGGGGGACTTTCCAGTCTTGTTACCATTTGATTGGGTAGTAACCTCTGGTGGTCAGCCCAATCGTGGAGGGTTGGCTAGCTTGACTGGGGCTGGCCTTGGCCCACTAGCTGGGGAAGTTGCAGAGACATTTGGAAACTTCAGGTGATTTTCCCCTGGCACCTGATTGGTTGTTGCTAAGGGGAAAGTGGGTCAAGGGAAGGGGTTGAAGCTTGAACTGGAGCTTTGCAGTTTTTCCCGTAACAAACTTTAAGCAGCTACAGGTTATGTTTTAAAGCAGAAAACTAAAATGGCAGTGCTATTGTCCACAAGCCGATTACATATTTACTGGGTTATAGCATGCTCTTAACCTAAGTTTATGGTATACTCTACCACGGTTCTCTCAAGAAGAGCTCCGACTGCCTTCTCCAGGGCCCCCTCGGAACCTGTCCCTTCACCCCTCCCTTCTCTTTGCTTTGTGCACGAGCTAGGCCTCAGCACGTGGGTATCCTGCTGGAAGGCGGGGCAGAGTGCCATCCATTCGAGGCTCCGGGTTCACCGGAGCGCCTTACACACGCAGCTCAGCCCGACCAGCCGGGCGGGCTGACTCCCAGCTCTGCGGTTCGCAGGTTCTGCCGCCGCGGGTGGAGCACCTTGCTGCCCTGGGCCTCGGTTTCGGCCTCCGCCAGACGGGTGTGCCCGGCGCCCGCTCCGCTCCCAGGCCTCGTGGAGCGGGTCCCGCTGAGAGCCCCGAACACGGCGGTCGCGCGCCCTCTGCGGAGGGTGGCAGACGCTTCCAGCGACCCGCGACCACGACCCCGCGGTGCCGGCGGGAAGGCAGAGTCGGAGGGAAGCAGAGCGGGCATTTCCGGCGCACGGTGCTTCCCGTCTCCCGTTAATCCCCTTCGCGACTGGGTGGGGGGGGTCGACTAGACCCATCTTACCCGACACCTGCTGTCCCAGAGTTCCTTCCTTCCTTCCTGTCTGAGTCTCACTCCATCCATCCCTCCGCCTCAGCCTTCCGAGTAACGGGAGCCACACGCCCGGCTGATGGATTGATTGACTGACTGATTGATTGTAGAGACGAGGCCTCGCCCAAGTTGCCCGGGCTGGTCTCAAACCCGCGGACCCCGGCAATCCACTGGCCTCGGTCTCCCAAAGGGCTGGGATGGCAGGCGGAGCCGCCGAGCTCGGCCGCCCCGGAGTTTCTCCCTTGTCATTCCCTGTTTGGTTTTTTTGCAAGCCAAGAAGCAACTCAGAGAAGGGCGGCGGGGAAGGCTGGGCGGCGGGGAGGAGGGGAGCGCGCGGTGGACCCCAGGCCCCTCTCGGAACGGCAAGAGGATCGGGCCCGTCTACAATGGGGCGGCGGGCGCGCCGCTTGCGCTCCTGCTCAGCCGCCGACCCGGTTTGGGGAGATCCTGACCGCTCCCTGCCACTTCACGGCTCGGTTTTGTCGCCGGCGAGATGGGGGTG